ATCTCTGTTATTTGCCAATTACCAACATTCTGGACATTTAGCATATTTTCTTGCTTGATGTTTCTGTTGGTTGTAGTTCTATTTTTGTGTATGCTATTACCCTTTCTTCTCCTAGACAATACTTGATAATTGTTCCGATTGTGTATAGTTTTGTATTTGGTTTAGAAACTTCTTACTTTGACAAAAGAGGTAAGTGTAGTAGGGATTCCTTCCACCATGACCATGCACTGTCTTGCCTGATAGACGCGGTGCTTTTTGTCTGCACATATGACCTCTTTAGGTCAGACTTGGGGTTCCGTTTACCTGCCCCCCGAGGCAGAACAGAAGTCCATGATGGCTATTTACCTTGTTGTATATCTGTGAATATATCTTAATAAACCCTTGATACTCCTATAAGTGGGCTCTAATGGATGCCCCCTCAGTGTGAGAAATAAATGGGGGGGGGAGTGTAAGGCTTATTTACCATTGGAGGGTTTGTAAATAAGCTGTTGCACTACTATGAAAGTCAATGAAAGATGTCTCCACAAAGCAAGAAACACATGTACCATATGACCCAGATATCACAATCCTGATCATTGTACCTAGGATTCTACATTCTACTAAAGAAGTGTGATAAATAATTGGGGGGGAGTGTAAGGTTAATTTACCATTGGAGGGTTTGTAAATAAGCTGTTGCACTACTATGAAAGTCAATGAAAGATTTCTCCACAAAGCAAGAAACACATGTACCATATGACCCAGATATCACAGTCCTGATCATTGTACCTAGGATTCTACATTCTACTAAAGAAATACCTGCTCTTCTGTGCTTATCATTCTCCACAATACAACAAAAAAGAAAGGAATGTGGGATTTTAATAAACAAAAGAATGTACAATTAAAATATGGTTTATCATCAAATGAAACAATATTCAGCCATACGGAAATTCAAAATTATCAAATTGAAGGTATTTGGTTGGAGCTAGAAAATTATTTAAATGAGGCAACATCAAGAAAAATGAAAGAAAAATACCACATGTTTTTTTTTCATATGTGGGAGTTAGCTTTAGATCTTTAGATATGTACATTGAAATTTGATTGCCACGCCAATATCAGGAAACTAATAAAGGGGACATAGAAGAATTTCAATGAAAGGTGGCTATGACACTGACAGTATGAAGAGAAAAGAAGGAACAATGGAACAGGAAAGATTAAATGCTGCGGGTGATGGGAGGACAGGGTATGCATTGGCATTGGGAATATGAGGACAATACCTAGAACTGAAAATCCTAACACCATATCAATACCTACTACTGTAGAAATTTACTGATATGCATATATGGAGTTTAACTGGCATTACTCATAAGGGTGGTGGAAACAATGCCTCCCTCAGATATCATAGACTATCTGTAGTAGAAATAATAAAAACTCAGAGCCAGATATTGGGGTTCATGCTTCAAGCTGAAGATCAGAAAAGCAAAGCAGCCAGCCTCTAGCTGTTACCTTTACCTCACAGGGAAAGAGCTGTCTTGTCCTCAGCATAGCTGGAGAATAAATATTTCAAGATGACTTTCTTTTTATACTTCTCAAATTCTGGGATTAAAAGATTTTGACCCCATGTTCTGAGATCAATTTTGAGTAGCTCCGTGTGGCCTTAAACTAACAGGAATCTGTCTGCTTCTGGTTCCCGAATCCTGGGATTAAAGAAGTGTGACACCATCTGTGGCTTGGTATTAAGACTACTGGGATTAAAGGCATGTATCACCACTGCCTGGCAATGTGGCTTGTGACTATGCTTTCTGTACTCTCAGACAAGCTTTAATAAATCAAAATATATCATCATAGCTATCAGATAAAAGACCAATTCCATGAATAGGTTACCTATTTTTTTATTCGTGGTGATTGAAGAGCTACAGAGTCCACAAACATAATAGGCTATTGATAATGAGTTTGGTTCCTTATAGAAGTTGAGGGTATGATGCGGTTGCTGAAGATAACAAATATCCAAGTTACAGAGTACAGAGAAATTAACTTAATAATGAGATGGGAGTTGCAGCCCCACTGCCTAACTTTCATTGTGCTAGAAGGTTCTATACATACTACCAGGCAAAACTGGGATCCATGTTAAGGGAATAACCAACCACTTTCTAACTGAATTTAAAGCCTGAGCCACAAGATAGAAGTCTTGTCTAGTAGCATTAACTGGATCAAAGGTGTGTGGCTGCCTAGATCATAGGTCCTAGGGGAGAACTGACTCCTATTACTTGGAAAAATAATGGTCATAGTAGTAAACAGACCCACCTAAAGTTCTTATATTTGTATCCAGAGAGTAGAACATTTCTTCATTCTCATTAGAAAAGCTTCTTTTTGCATCAGACAGTGATTACTACAAAGACCCACAACCCTCTGCTTTCGAGTGCTTGGATAAGATGGGAATCTAGCCTCACAAGGATCAATAGTCATCACAGGAAAAGAGCCAGAAATATTTTTCTTTTTCTTTATTTAATTTTAAAAATAATTTTGCATACCAATTACAGTACCCTCTCCATCCCCCTACCCCCAGGTCCTCTGCATCTTTACCTGAACCCACTCCCCATATCCACTCCTGAGAAATGGCAAGGACCCCCACCAGGAGTCAACAAAGCCTGGCACATCAAGTTGAGGCAGGATCAAGCTTCTCTCTCTTACTGCAAGGCTGAGCAAGGCATCCCACCAATAGAGAATGTGGTCCACAAAGCCATCTCATACACCAGGGATAGATTTACAGAAATATTTTAAGGGCTAGATGTTGTAGAATTCTAAGGCATAAGAGTACTTGGTAGGATGGTATCACAGTTGCACACATGAATTTATAGCTTCTGGGACTGAATGCATAAGGTTTTCATAACATCAAACCATCTGAAGATTCAATGGTACTTAATAGCTCTGGGAGAAGAGAGTCAATTTTCTGCAGCAACTGTAGACAGTTCTCCATACATACTTGTATAGGCATGCATGTAAGCCTACTCAGTAGACATTTTGTTTGTTGTTTGAGACAGGGTTTCTCTGTGTATCTTTGTAGACCAGGCTCACCTCAAACTGAAAGAAATCCACCTGTCTCTGCCTCCCACATGCTGTGATAAAAGGCATGCGCCACCTGGCTCAGTAGACATTTTTAAGAAGAGAGAATAAATACATTTGAGAGGGAATACTGATGGAGAGAAATATGGAACGACTTGGAGGAAGGTAATATTTGATTTAGTATTCATGTATACTAAATAAAATATTTTTAAATAAATAAAAGAAAAAATTCTCAGGAAAGCTCTTTCAGGCAAAACAACATTGCTGGATTAGTGACCTCATGCAATGCTATAGAGATTTAATAACAACATAGCATAATATTGACCCCCAAAACAGAAATGTAAACCAGTTGAAACAGATGGAGGACATTAAAATAAGCCTTAAGAGTTATGGTTAACTAGTATTTGACAATTGTGTAAAAGATGTATACTGTAACAAATATGGTCTATTTGAAATAAATGATTCTGAGAAAGTATGATATCAGCATGTGGAAGAGTGAAATAAGATTCATATTTCACAGTAATCAGCAATGATAATGATAATAATAATAAATTCAAGATGAATACAAAACTCTTAATTTAAATCCTGAAAATCTGAAATCACTGGCTAAAATAGATATAATACAATTTCATAAACAGCAGCAAAAGAAAGAATGTTTCAAGCAGTATTATAATAAAATGGAAAAATGCCCTGAAAATTGTCACAAGGATAATCTATAATTAAGAGTGGAGAGTTAATGGAATTAAAAGAGGACGCAAAGCAGGTATATTTATTATACAATATCATGGGAAATGAGTTAGAGTGAGGAATTTACTGAATGTCTTACTGAATTTGTTACTGCACCATGTTTAGCAATGTGGGAGCTATGTTGTCCAGTATCCATGTGACCAGTTAGTCCAACTTGCCAGTACTAGCCAGCATCTGATAATAGGTGTTGGTCTTTCCAGCTCCAGATTCTGCGGGGAGGGCAGGCTCAGGTAGCCCCTCAGCTGAGAAGCAAGTGGCTGTGCTTGCGGAGAAAGATGTAGGTTGGCAAAGATGGGGGACAGTTTTTATATAGACTGTTCTGGAAGCTGTAATGCTTTGTACGAAAGGCACTGTAGTACATGGCTCAGCTTTCAAAAAAATTTACTTTCAAGGTTGAAGTACAATTTTGAGAAGTTTTACTTGTTACAATTTTGTTTATTCCTGCTAAGGGTATTGCTTATAGTTTGTCATGACATAAATTAGACACTCAAAATGTTGATTTGGTTGCTGTTGATACCAATAACTACTTAGTTCCCTAAAGTCTTAGCCCAGGTAGAGGCACAGGTATGAGCCTTTCTGACAGTGGAGACTACTGGTAACAACCCAGGAAAGTACTTCATCTGATTGGACACGGTCCACCACTGAAGGAGGGGCAAGCACTCTCAGTTTTTAAAGGAGTGTTAGCCTCACCCACAAACACTCTTCACAGAGAAAAGTGATTAGAATTGAACCCTGAAGTTTTCCAAAATGTAAATGCCAAATGAAGACTATATACAACAGAATGAACATAGAAAGGAGATGAAATAAACAAAGCAATATTGGAACATGAAAGAAATTTATGTATTCATGTTATCCTAGACATGGGTAATGACCTGTTCAACCTTTCTATAGTGAATGGATAGCAGGACTCTATCTGAATTCTCTTCAATGTACACATTAAAGTACCTTTGCTGTTCTGGCAGTAATAGTGCACTTGACTTGTCTTTTTCACTAAAGGGTATTTGTTACAAAACAATACTTGCCTAGTTTTGTATGCTAAGTAGACTGTGCCTTGGATGGCTTTACAATACAGCCTTTTCTACAAATGCAGGAAGAGTCATATTCAAGTCCACATATCTTATCTGGTATGTGACAAGCATGCCCAGGTTCCCAAGGTTTACTGATGATGTGTAATCCACAAATATTCACTTGGTAAACAAAGTATCTTTCCTTACCTGACATGGTCAGGGGAGGAGTAAGAGTCACCCATGGTCTGTTCTGCTGACACCATGTGTGTCCAGTAACAGAGAGCATTCTCTGGTCACTGGTCTCAGGTGAACAGTGATGATCCAAATTTGTTAACAGGCACCTCCATGGTAACTTCAAGATTCTACCAGGTGCTGATAGGTTTGGAGGGAGAATGATGTCATAAACCAGCAGTAGCCAAAGGAAAGGTCAGATTCTAAGCCTAAAGGTAGGATAGGGTAGAGAAGATGCCAAGAGACCAACAACATCTATGAATTGCTTAACCTGGAGAGACCAAGTCTAGCTCAGGTCAGCATGACTTACTTACTCCAAATAGGTACCACCTCTAAAAATTTCCACAGCTTCTCAAAATCACAAAGAGCTAGAGACTAAACCTTCAAAACAACAACTGATAGGGGACAGGGTGATAACAAGGGACACTTCATATCTAAACTGCAGCAGTGTAAACTGCTGGACAAGTGTATTTTTGGAGTAGTTATTTGTTAAACATAGGGAATACTTTAAAATGGTAGATAAAATGTTACTCTGGTCTCACTTGATGCAGGTTTCTTTTGAATACATAAAATAAGGGTGTGGAGATAGTTCAGTATTGAGTTCCATGCAGCATAAGAATAACATACTGAGTTTCGATCAACAACACCCATGTACAATTATTCATGAAGTGGCCCCGCTCATTTATAATCGAATATGCAGAATGGTGCAGTCAGGTGGATCCCTGAACTCTCTGGAAAGACTGTCCAGCCCATCAGAATGCCTCCTTCAGTGAGAGAACTTGACTAAGAATTATGTCATGAATCTGGATGCTGTGGAAATGACTCAGTGGTTAAGAAAACTGGCTTCTCATTTAGAGAACAGAATTTTGGTTATAAGCACTGACTGATTCTCCCTGTCTTAGCAGTTGGTAATTACCTGTAGCTTTTCTTCCAGGGGTAGGGTCTTGTGAGTTCTTCCCCCACTTAATTTGGTATTTCAACAGGTATCGTCATTTTACAAGCATTTTTGAGGTGACCATGTTGTTGGGATTTCAGTTGGTGTAACTTCAATGTCATGTTGTCATACACAGAAATCACTAGCTTGTAAATTTAAGAAAGAGGGTATGACAGGTGTGGGTTTGAGTAGGGAGACAGAGAGGGGAAGAAATTATGTATACCATAATCATATGTGAAATTTTACATGAATTTAAATAAAAATAAAACTCACTCTTTATACTATACAAAAATTCACTTTAAGAGGATGGGATGGGGGTCAATGATGGGTATGGAAGGATGGGAGAGTTAGGGAACTGGCATTGACATGTAAAATAAGATTTTACACATAATTAGAAACTAACAATTTCAGTTTTAAGATTGGCTTTATTGAATTTCACACACACACACACACACACACACACACACACACACACACATATGATGAGATCGGTTTCTGAAGTGACGTAAGTTCTCTGACCTCTTACGCTATTCTAGCACCTGGAAGGCAGCTTTGAAAGCTGTGGATGTGTGTATTTGTGTTTGTGCATGAAAGAAAGAGGTAGAAAGAAGGGAAGACAGAGAAGGGAGATGGACAGAAGTGGGGGAGAAGCAGTTAGTTCAACATTGTAAAAGGAGCAAAAGCAGAACCTTCTATGTCACCCTGAAGTATGAAAGCTTTCAAAATATAAATGGAGTAAATTGTGTTAACTTTTACAAAAAATTCATAAAACCCAAATAACTATTTAAAAAAAGACTAAAAAATGCTGTTTAGTGTGGCTTAGAGTATTCACTTTTCAGTTTATTATATTATTTAATTTCAGTTGGGCAATTTTACTGTGGGAACAAGAGACCTTGGCGGGAGGCCCACTTCCCCATCAGCCTGGGAGCAGGTAGCTGTAACCAACTACAGAGAAAACATATTTACTAAAATCATGTTTAGTAAACTAAAAACAATCCAGTGCCCATAAGAAATGTTTAATGGAGCAGTAAGTTCCTGATAAGGGCTCACCTATGGGAACACCTGACCTTGATCTTTCCAATGACTAACCGCCTCTTCCTGACCCCCCCCAACCCCGCCTCTGGTGTCAGGGTATATAGCCAGCTGGGGTAAGAATAAAGCGAAGCCTTCTTTCACTACCGACTGGTCTTTGTGTCATCAATCCCGATACAGTCGGGCATGGCATTTTACTTCTTATTTTTATGTGCAGCTATGTGTTGTAACATAAATCTAAGGTTGATTTTTCAAATTAGTGTGTTAGAGAAATAAGAAGGAAGAACACAATGATTAGATTAATAATGAATGATTAATTAGATTTCTACAAATCAGACCATAGGATGGATTAGTCCTGAAGACAGAAGATAATTTCTTACTGTGTTTGATGCAAAGTGAATGAGTTTTCATATGAAGAGTGGATTTGTAATATGATATTTAAAAATACTATTGAAAGTGGGTACAGCAGATTAGGACCTGACGATCCACAAGTTAGGCTGATTCATGCCGGACAATAATGGAATGGTGAAAGGTTTGAAGAGCAGAAGAAGGGGGGTCTCCTGAAGTTTCTGAGTGTGTTCTTGAATTACTCTTACTTGCCTTATAGATAACAACTAAACTAGAGGAAATAGCACACCTTCACTCCCTTTACAGTTACAATTTAGTATGTTTTATGGACTTTGCTGATATATCACCACTGGTACCATAATTGGTACAGGTTGAGCATCTCAAATACTGTGGAATAGAAAATTCTTCAAGATCTGGTACTTTTTGAGCATCAAGATGACACTTGTTAAAGTAGTCCTTCATTGTTCTAGATAATAAAAGGCTGGAGTCAGATCTAGAGGGAAATTCTGACAGATCAGAGAGAAAGAGGAAACCACAGCATACCTTACCTCCTAAGCGTCTCCACAGAGAAGAGAGTGATTTCCTGTTTTTCCCTGCTTATACACTGTTACTGCCCAGCTATGTCATTTCCTGACTGTCTTACAGATCTCCAGTCCTCTATAGTTAGCTAGTAGAAGTTTTTACCCAGCTATGTCGCTTCCTGCCTGTCTATACAGACCTCCTGACCTCTATGGTTAGCTAGTGGCAAGCTCCATTCTCTGACCCCAGACAGGCTTTATTTGTACAAGAAAGATATCACCACAACCAAGTTTATGCATTTCAGGTAAAGGGTGATCGACTGGGAAAATAAAAGAAACCATTTTGGAGTTTAAAACTCAATAAACTCTTTAATTGTTCACCTGTGAAAATACTCTCACTCTGAACCACATTTATTTTCAAGCATTTTTTTAATAAGGGAAATTTCAACTATATATAAATTTTCTCCTAAGACATATACCTTGACTTTAAGTTTATGAAGCTTAGTATTCATTCTTGTTGAATCTATCTTACTAAGTTCTAAATAATTTTTTACAGGAGAGAATTTATTCAAATTTATTTTTTATTGATTTAATTCATAATGTATTACATATGAGAAATGAGAAGTTACTTAAGATTTCTATGAGATATAATGAGATGGTAAAAATGACAATAGAATTGTGATATGCTCAGTTTGTACTTTCTGAATTTATAGATATTGTATATGCACTATATCTTCTATCTCTACTTTTCTAAAATCTGAAAAGAATGTGTAGATAGAAATACACACATGTACTGGTATCAACACCGAAGTAACCTGAAATATGCAGATATACATGGATATACAATGCATACCTATGTGTATTCATACAGACAATGATCATGAGACATAACTTAGGCTTATCAAACTGCTGTAGCAAATAATATCAGTCCTAAAGAGAAGTAAAATATCAAGTGGACTGCACAATAGTTGTACGTAAATGGCTAGATTGATTGCTCTTTAGTTCCAAATGCTTTCAATTTGGCAGTTTATTTCATTAAATTGTCACTAAGATGTTCAATTTGTTTGCTTTACTGGAACATTTACAAATGTATGCTTCTACAAGAGGATTGAAAACCAATGTCAAGCTACCATTATAATTAAAATTGAATATAACACCTCATAATTGGCAAAATGCATTATTTGACTCTACTATAATGAAGCTTTGCCTTGCAGACTTTGTGATGTTTATGAAAAATAACAAAACAAAAAACACAGTATCACAATTCCAGAATTTACCAGTAATCTATACTGTATCCAGATACATAATGTATTTGACAGTGATAATACAGTATTTAATTTCAGTACTTATGATTCCTGAATAAAAATATCTAGTCAAACATATATCATGCTTAATTATTTGCCCATTGTTTTAAGATAATAGGATGAACTAATGACTAAATTTCATTCAAAACTGACATGAAAAATGTCATTTTCTTTGTACCTTTACTGTTTTCCTTGATTTTACATTGCTCTGAAATAGGAGAATTGGGCAGTCAAGGAATCTCCCTTCATTTTGGTTAAGCAACATTGGCTGTCAGAACAAAATAGCAGTCAAGATTTTAGCAAAATTATGATTGTACTTGAAGATTACTCATTAACTTCAAATCCATGCCAGCAGTACCAGGTGGCCTTTGAAAGTCTTACTTGCTCCTTTAATTTTTGCTCAGTGATTTATCCAACTTGAGTGAGAAAGAAAGAAATTAATGAGGAAAATAGTGTGGCTTTATAAATTGTCTTTATTCATTTTTTGCCATTCCAGGATAAGTTTCTGTGTTATGCCTGGGGGCAGATCCCGGAGACTTCCTCACAGAACAGAATTTACATGTGTATGGCGTACTTTGTATATCTCTGTGTACATACTATATATACATATATGTATAGTGTTATATGATTTATGGATATTTATACACATGTGCTTTAAGAAGTCATAGTTAAATTTATAAGTAGATAGTATTGACACAAAGTGTTAAAGCTAAGTGGGAATTCTCTGCTGTAGGCCTCAGATGGCATGGTTAGCCTTTTGGTCAGTGGAACCTAGTGGACGCAGATACATTCCAAATGTTTCTTATTTTTAGTCACAAGGATGCTGTGTCAACTGTAGAGGCGGCAAAGCAACAGTTATCCTTAGTGGCTAAAGCCAGATCTGGAAGTTGCAATTAAGCATCATCCCAAACTTAACACCGTCACTGAAATTCTAATCTGTTAAT